TTAGGGTCCAAGGTTTATGGTTTAAAGGGTACGGGATTACAATTTAGATTTTGGGGTTTGAAATTTAGGGTTCTAAGTTAAGGTTATAGTATAGAATCATGCAATTAAACAATTTTGATGGTTAAATTTATGCGAAAATACACCAGGGATGAAAATGATAAATTGAATCTACTATCAGAGTAAAAGTATATGAGAGTTAATGCATTAGTGTTATTTTATAATGAATCAATATTATAAATGATAAAAATATAAATTGTAAAATTCAACGATTAAAATAAAATATAACTTATTCAACGATTAAATAAGTTATAAATATAATTTATCTAAAAATATTTTTTTGAATTAATTTATCCAAAAATATTAAGTGGTCCTATAGAGGGCAAAATCATGCTTTACAATGAATCCCCCTAACATCCTTCACTTTTATACGTCGGTAAATCCTTCTTTGATAAGTTTGTTTAAAAATCGATATTAGATTTAATTATTATAAAAATATATTATAAGGTAATTTTTTATTTTAGTTTATTTCGTTCATAATATTACGATTAAGATATCTGATTTTATTTAAGGATTTAATATTCCATCTTACTATATAAATGTGTGTTTCAAAGCTTTCTTTAAGGAAGCATGGGGCATTTGGTTTGCATGGACAACGTTATCTCGTTCATTTTAAGATTCATGGACAAATCACGTCGGCAAACATATTCTTTTATGTTATAAATTTATTTCGAGAGTGTTTTTGAATGAGATTCGGTTCATTACGGTGTGATTTATTTATTTTTAAAAATTCGTTATTGTAAAAAATCCATTAAATTCTTATTTATTCAAAAAGAAATAATTATAATAGAAATTATAGAGAAAAAAAGGTTAAATATAAAACAAGTTATTAAAATATAGAGTTTTTCATGAATATGTGTCTAAATGATTTTTTGAATGATCCAGATGTCTAACGTTAAAAACGTTATCATTTTAGGTGTTTGGGCCGTCAATGATGTTAATTTCCTTCGTTTAGTGACACATGTCACAATCGGGTAATTTTGAATTTTTTTTATATAATATTATTATATTTAAAAAACAAATTTCTCTTAAAATAAAAAAAGTTTCAAAATCCCTAAAATTCTCAAATCCTAACCCTAACCCGTTGTGGTCATTTATGCCCACGAACACAACCATCGACATAGTCTATGTCGTCCTCCTAGTCACATGATGTTGTAGTTGTTGATTGGTCGTCGGAATTGCATGAGATCGCATTTTTTAATCTAGGATATGCGGGGTATAAAACATTGATTCACCATCAATCGGCTATCGATCAATCACAAATTCATAGGAGTTTTGATCGACGGGAGAGGTGAGGTCGAGTGGAGCTTCGTCAATGATAAAGGATGGCAACCAATGTGGGTTTAGGGAATGAGATGAAATATTTCAAAGTTTTTGGATTATTTTAAAAATAATATAAATATAATTTTATTTTTAAATAATTTTTTTTAAAATTACCATATTGTGACATATGTCACTTAAGGAGAATTAACGCCTTTGATAGCCCGAATACTTAAAGTGATAACATTTATAATATTCGATACTATGATCATTCAAAAAATAAATTAATCACATATTTGTGAAAAACGTAATTTATAATTTGAAGGTCTTTCACGGAAACTGCTCTGGCGTTGGGGGCAGCCTACTATCCTACCTCCTCTTACCCCATTATATATGGAAATAAGGGTCAATTAATTTATTTTATAATGAAGTAAAAAAAATCAAATGATTTGTCATTTTGTTCGTTTGTGAAGTCTTGTCCGCAAATGCATGCTTGATTTACCATCATTTTCAGCATATTCAATGATGGCCCAAGACCAAGAGCAGGTTTCACACATCTCGCTCTTTATATGGTATACTCATTCCGTATTTAACCAATTAATTCAAATTTAAGTACGACATAAAACCTTTTATATCCTATTATTTAAATGTATTTATCTATCACACCAATAATTTCATTTATAATTTTTTTATTCAATAATCAAAATACAACCAATTTTATAATTCTATAATTTGTAGAATTTTCTATAAAGAATAATAATTATATTATTAAATATTTATCATAAAAATTTATGAAAACATAAAAAATTAAAATAAGTAGGTCCTCATTATAATATAATATAACGTAATATAGTACATGGCTAGAGTAATGTATTTCTTTATGATTAATTCATCGAATCTGACTTTATTTCCCTTCGTATAATTTTAATTATGGGGATAGTAATGGGTCTGACATAATAAATGAGTGGGGCATCCTTTTTTTAATTGCTTGAATTCTTTGATTTGAAATTAGGTTATTACTTTTTTTTTCCTTTCTGATTTCATGAATTCATCTTGATTGATCTGAATTGACTTATATCATATATCTTATTTTGGTGGTGAGTTTATCTCTCAATGGAATTTTTTGCATACGCAATGATTTAAACTCGAGACTTTGTTTAAATAATATAAAATTGCTTACTTCTTGAACTAATTCTGTTGGTAAAATTAGGTTATTAATTATTAAGGGTAAAGTACACAAATGGTCCCCTGACACTATGGTGTCGCTTTATTAAGTCCCTCGATTATTTAAAGTTATAAAATGGTTCTCCGACTATAGAGTGTTGTTTTGTTGAGTCTAACTATTAGAAGTTATAAAATGGTCACTTGACTATTCATTATGTTTCAAATGCGTCATTTTCCCTTAAAAATAGATTGTATTTTAAGTTGAATGTTAATTTATTGATTGTGATATAATAAAATTTGATCTCAGAATCTCAAACGACTAACATATCTCAATCATCATGTTAACGTCCAACTTAAACAACGGTCAATTTCTTAACAAAAAAACACGGATGAGTTTAGAACATAATGAATAATCAAGTGAACATTTTGTAACTTTCAATAGTCGGGGACTTTGCAAGACAACATTCTATAATCAAAGGACTATTTTATAACTTTTAATAGTTTAGGAACTTAATAGAGCAATACCCTATAATCAAAGACCATTTGTATATTTTACCCCATTATTGATTATTATTGTGTTACAAGATGATTTTTTTATTAAGATAAGGTGATTACAAGTAGTATATGTTCTAAATACTTTTAACCATTTGACAAAGAACGCTCAATCACTCTGTTGTAGCCGCTGGTGCTCGAACCTGTGACCTTTAGGAATAGCAACGATTTCTTTAAAAATTTAATTTGCGAATGAAAATATTCTTTAATATTAGGTTTATTACTTTATACCAAACGTAGTATGGATTCACGTGAGAAAAATCAAAGTTTAGTTAATTTAAGGGACTTAGGTTTCATTTCCCAATATATTCACACATAACAAAGTTTTTTTTTTAAAGGAAGGTCAATGGTGTTTTCATTTGTATTTTTCCATGAAAAAATCAAGCTCATCTTGCATGCAAATGGGCAAAACGTCAACTTACCCTAGAGGAACTCCACATTTACTAATTCATGAAATAAGCCTTTGAAGAGGGTAAACAAATAATGAGAATTAGGGTTTCTTTTAGTTGCCCTACAATGAATGCCCCACGGGTTTTGAGTGGTAGAAAGAAAGAGCCTATACCATGTTCCCTCAAAACAAGACTTATTATGAGTTGATTTTTAATTCAATTTATTTTATTTATAACGTTATAATTTGAATTGCATACATTGTCTAAGAGATCAAACATCTCATATTTTTAAAGGGCTTTGTATGATTAAAAGATGGGACAATATAAGATAGGACATCGATAAGATTCCAATTAAAAAAAATCATAAACCTAAATGAAGGAGAAAGAGTATTCCTAAACGAAGTCCTTATTGAATTGTCTCAAAAGCCATCTGTCCTTATTGAATTGGATCAAACATCTCATATTGCTAGTTCAATATGTAGTTGATTAATTTTGAATATCATGAATGAATAAAACATATACTTAAGCTTTTAACATATGTTAAGTTTGATTTAACTTGATCTCAAAATAGTTGAAGCTAGTGACACCTTGTCCATTCTAGAATCTGAATTTTATTTAGTTAGTTAATCATTTTATTATTAGTACTCTTTCTTAAATTTTATTTGTGTCCACCTTCATATAAAAAAATTATATTATTTATTGATATATAGGGTTAAGATCCACTTATACTATGTAAAACTAATAAGTTTTACATCAACTTATAGCCATTATATTTAAATAAATAATCTTAAATTTAATTAAAATTTAACTATATAAATAAATATTTCTTCATCTCAGATTAAACCAATTTTTTAGGATTAGGGTTTAAGTTTTAAGTTGTAGGGTTTAGGGTTTAAAATTTATGGTGTGAGTTTTAGGGTTTAAGATTTTGAGGGTTTAAGGTAAGGTGTTGGATTTGAGTGTGGTAAAATGAGATATTGTTTATTGTGAGTTAAAAGATATTTATTTATTAGTTATAAATTTTAATTAAATCTAAGTCATTTATTTTTTTAAATATAATGACTATAAATTAATGTAAAACTTATTAGTTTTATATAATCTAAGCGGACTATTCCCCATTATATATATATATATATATATATATCAGTATTTCTAGATCAGCCAGTAAGACGTAACCTAATTTGCATGCCAAATAGGCAAATACGAGCAATAGAGCTATATATTAAAATCTAATTTTTTTCAATTAAATATTTATTTATTTTTTATAAAATCTACCTCAAAATTTTATACGTGCCTATCCAGTCCAACTGTCCAAGCACATCTGACTTTTGGCAAACAATGAGTAAATGATGTTTGTTGACTCTTTTGGATTTGCATACCCCCATTTACCTCATCACTAATTGGGAGAATTAGTGTTAAACACATCCTTCCCGGGGGATGATCCTCTCTTTCTTCTCTATATATAGACAAACCCAAATCCTTGCCTTTTGAAGCTAAATCACAAAAACATTTCAGAGTTTCAAAACCCAGAATCAAATCATCATCTTCATCACCATCAAACAAAAAACACAGTGACAAAAAACAAAGTGAAGAAATGGGCAGACCACCTTGCTGTGACAAACTGGGTGTGAAAAAGGGTCCATGGACACCGGAAGAAGATATCATACTGGTCTCTTACATCCAAGAACACGGTCCTGGAAACTGGAGATCGATTCCCACTAACACAGGTAATCAATTCGGCGTTAGTTGTGTTCATTAAAGAGTGCAATAAATATAAAGGCACCTACGTTAATATCTGTTTGATTTTTTGTTTACAGGCTTGCTTAGGTGCAGCAAGAGTTGCAGGCTTCGATGGACTAATTATCTCAGGCCGGGCATCAAGCGTGGAAGCTTCACAGAGCAAGAAGAGAAGACGATTATCCATCTCCAAGCTCTTCTGGGAAACAGGTATGAATGTAAACCCAGTGATTTAACTCGATGAAAATGTTGTTGTTGTTGAAAGTGTGGGTTTTTCGTTTTCGGATTTGCAGGTGGGCTGCCATAGCTTCTTATCTTCCTCAAAGGACAGATAATGATATAAAGAACTATTGGAACATCCACTTGAAGAAGAAGCTTAAAGGTGGTCAAAATCAGGATGGGGTTTTTTCGTTTCAATCGGTCTCCAAGGGACAGTGGGAGAGGAGGCTTCAGACGGATATCCGATTGGCTAAACAGGCGCTGTCCGAGGCGTTGTCGGTCGATAAACCGACTCGTTCAACTGATTTGAAGCCGTCGAACGAGTTGTATGCGTCGAGCGTCGAGAATATATCTCGATTGCTCGAGAACTGGATGAAAACCACGCCGAAACCAGTCACCGCCTGTTGCGACGGTGGTGATAATGGAACGAACTCGGCTGACACGGTGACTCAGGGTTCGTTCATCAACGGCTCCTCCGGGACCAGCTCTAGTGGTGACGAAGGAGCGTTCAGTGGCGAAACGACACCGTTTAGTCAGGGGTTCGACTCGATTTCCGGCTTCAACAAATCGTGCAGTTCATCGGATAACGTTTCGCATGAATCTGTATCGGTGGAGAAGCAGAATGCAAATTTGATGACGCCTGAAAACGTAGTCGTTTTCCAAGATGAAAGCAAGCCAAATTTGGGGGATCTGATAGAGAAATGGCTCTTAGAAGATGGGCTGTTTTGAAAGAAAAAAAATTAGAATTCTGGTTTTAATTAGGGTTCTTTATTTTATCTTTTAAGGTATATATTCCACACATTACGGATATATAATTGGGTAAAGAACGCTAATGGTTCCCAATTATAGGTATTGTTTTATTAAGTCCTTGGATCATTACAAGTTACAAAATGGTCCTTTGATTATGGAGTATTGCTTTTTTGAGTTCTTCAACTATTAAATGTTACAAAATGGTCACTAACTATTCATTATGTTCCAAATTTGTCCTTTTCTGTTAAAAACAAACAATTATTTAAGTTGAATGTTAACATGATAGTTGAGATATAATAGTCGTTTGAGATTTTGGGATATAATAGTCGTTTGAGATTTTAGGATAGATTTTTATTATATCTCAGTCAACAAGTTAACGTTTAACTCATAATATCGTTCATTTTTAATGGAAAATGATGAGTTTGTCCTAACATAAAATCTTGCGTCCGTCCCTACTTATACTAATAAATGATTCAGTTATAAACAACATCTATTTTTCTTATTTATTTCTCATAATTATGTTTTGTTTTGTATATCTATATTTTATTTTTCTTTGTTTAATAAGTCTTTCACTTATATTAATTATCTTGTACATGTCTTTTGTTTTGTTTCGCTAGAATTTCAATTTTACTCTTGCATGCTTGTTTATTTTTTTCTTTTAAAATAGTTTTTTTTATTTATTGGGTTGATAATTAGTTAATTACTCGGTTCTTTTTTAGCATATATACTTGCCTATTTAAAGTATAAAATATAAAATTCTAATCTTAAAGTCATAAATTTTAAATATAAATTTAAACTTTAAAGTCTAAAATCTTAAATACCAACTTACACGCATGACATTAAAACGGATTAACTTGTATAAAATAAAAGTTTACGCACTTCTTCGCGAGATTGTGTGTGCGCGCACTAGTGACAGATCCAAAAATTTAAGAATTTGGGTCTAAAATTTTAATTTTCTTTTCTTAAAAATAATGGGTATGTAAAAATTGTATTTTTTTTCTTTTTTCCTTGACACATTAAGCTAAATTTAACCATTTTTTCAAAATAATGGGATGCACTTGACCTTTATGGGAGCTTAGTGCATCCGCCACTAGCGCACACGCGTGTGTACACTCGTATGTGCGTGCGTTCGTGTGTAAATAAAAGGTTGAAATTAATTCATTTTTTCAATGAATATTTCATTATTTCTTATTATCAATATCATCAATATATTTTTACTTATCCAACGACTCTAAATTTGTGTAAAATCACAAGGTTGTACATTGTGTGTGTATATGTGTGTGTATATATATATTTATGAGTTAAGATCTACTTACACCTAATATAAAACTTTTAGTTTTCTACTTACACCTAATATAAAATTTTTAGTTTTACATATTTTTAAGATCGTTGGATTTATATATAGGGCTAGGATCCAGTTAAATAGTGCAAAACTCGTTAGTTTTGCACAAATTTAATATCATTAGATGGGTGAAAATAGATTAAGATTAACTACTTATTTTTATTAGTAAGTATCTTCTAAATTCTTTCCGTTAATCTCGTACATATATTTTCGCTCATTTTCTTATTTTTTTTCTACGAATTTGGTTCCTAGCAAAACCAAGGCCTCCATAGCAAGCTTTTTCTTTTGAGAAAACTTATATAAAATCATACTGTGCAATTATCTTTATTGACACTAATTTCGAGTACCACTGAGTATATTTCATAATTGGAGGTCTCTCACGGAAGCTGTTCTCAATCTGGCGTTGGGGGCAGCTTACTATCCTACCTCCCCCTATCTCGTTACATATGGGAATAAGAGTCAGTTAATTTTTTTATCGATATTTTTAATAAAATAAAACATTAAAATTATATAATAGTCAAATTAAATCATTCATCCATCTCAACTTTTTACTTAACTAAAAATAAAACTCATACACAAAATTCTAAATCTTTTAACATAAATTATTAATATATTAAAATTTATATAAACTTATGGTATTTCAAATTAGATTATAAAAATATAGGTCAACAAAACAAATAAAAAATACACAAGACTTCAGGTAGACAGAACTACCTGAAGTAGTCAATTGTATCAGATGATATTACAACGACAGACGATTAAGGAGACAATTGAAGATATTGAGATCAAACACGATCTTTGTCCCGCCATGAAACTAAATTCCCAGAGTATAAAAACCTATTTTGGTGTAAAAAGTACATGAGTTTAATTTTTAACCCAAAATTTAAAAATAAAAAAATAAATAATAAATTTATTTTATTTTATATATTTTTTGAATGAAAGAGAAAGGCTAGAGTAAGACATCAACTTCTAAATCAAAATAAGACAGACCATGAACATCTTTATAAATAATACGATAAAGATCAAGTGGAATCAAATTGTAAATAACTAGAAAATCATCATATAATTTAGTCTGAGTAAAGGGAAATAGTAAATATTATATATTTTGACTATGTATCATTTTATAGTTAAAACTTTTACTCGTATTATATATATATATATATATTACGATTCACTTACATAATGTAAAATTTTTAAGTAGGAATTAAATCGAGTTTCGAATATGAATCTAATAACATGTGTAATGAGTAATGAGTTTGATCCAATGTAATAGATGGGATTACCTTTTTCGAATAATGAAATGGAAGGCCCAGTGGCCTCTCTTTGAATCGACGAACTTGATGCCTAGCAAAAACAAGCCCCAATGGCAAGCTCTTTAATACGTAGATAAAATCATATTGTGTAATTATCTTTAGGGTAAACTACATATTTAGTTATTAAACTATTAATTTTAGCCCGTTTTAGTATCTAAATTTTCATGTTTTTAAAATCATACCGAATGTTAAGTTTTTATTTCATTTTAATACCCCGTTGTTAAAAACTTAATATGTTTAGTACCTAAATTATCAGTTTTAATACCTAAATTTTTAATTTTTTTAAAAAAATTAAAGTTAAATTTTAAATGAGGATACTAAAACTTTTAATGGTGAGGTATTAAAATGAAACAAAAACTAAACCTTAGGTATGATTTAAAAAAAAACTAAAAATTAAAATACTAAAATTGATAATTTAAATACTCAACGTATAATTTACCCTTATCTTTATTGACACTAATTTTAGGTCCAAACTAGACACATTAACAATTTGATAAATTAAATAAAAATATTTTTATTTTTCTTATTTCTTTCGGATTGCTTTGCTTTAAGTACCTTTTAGTAAATCCGAACTTTATTTATTTAATTTATCAATATTTTAAATAAAATAAAATATTTAGATTAAATTATAGTAAAATTAAATCAATTAAAATATTACAAAACTTTGTTCAAATTCAGTCTGAAAACATGTATGAAATTCTAAATCTTTTAATATATATTATTAATATATTAAAATTTATATAAACATATAACATTTTCTGCTATACTATAAAAACGTAGATCCACAAAACAAACCAAGTGAACCAGGTGACACTCAATTCAAAATTGCGAAGTCAGGTGTGATCAAAATTGGTAAAATTGCAATTAAATCCCTTGAAAGTTTGCGAAATTATAAATTAACACAAAAAATTACACATCAACACTCTCAAGAAATATAATTCACTATTAACCCCTTATTTTCTTTCGACTTTACCGCAATTAACACTTATCAAATAAAATATAACCAATACTGGGAGAACTATCACACCACCTGAGGATTTTAAATTCTCATATAGTTAAGATATTTTCTTAGTATTTTTCCTGACGGTATAAGTTTATATCCCTAAATTTCTAAAAGTTGTTACCTCTGACATAAAATCACATGATCATCCCTTAATCGAACACTACAATCCGAATTGATTTTAGTTTTGTCAAATGCTTTTTTGGTCACCATAGAATGCACAAGACAATAAGCATGTGATTGTTGAAAAAGAAAATGGGGGTTGGGGTGAGGCCCAAATGAGCATGAACCAATCCAAGTGCCAACTTGTCTTGTTGTACTACATATGAGACATTTAGGATATTTGTGATGGGCTATGTAAAATTGGCCCCATTTTCTTTTTATTTGATAGGACCATATACCCACCCCACCAATCGTATGTACCTTTTTCTTCATTTTTCTTTTCCCACTTCCATTGGGGGCACAACCTGCCTTTTAAGAGCGTTTGGTTCACGGAATGTAAGATTATCAGTAAGAATGTAAGATTACCAGAGAATAGGATTACTGAGAATGTTGTATTTTGTATTTGGTTAGTTTAGCAGGAATGTAAGATTACCGTGTTTGGTTAAAGGAATAAAAGATTATTGGAATGTATATTTGACCAAATTGTCCTTATTATATATTTGTTTTTTTAACAAGTTGGAAAATATTTATATATTTTCTTTAAAAAATTTAAATGTATTATATAATTTTTTTTTATAAAATTGAAAATATAAAAAGGTTTAATGAAAGGGTACAATTTTATTTTAACCCCTGAACTTCATATAAAATTTTAATTATAGACTTTTTTGTAAATCTAAAATAGTTTAAGGATAAATTTGTAATTTAACATTCATAGAATTTTTATTATTCAATGACAGAAGAATGATATTTTTGAAAAAAAAAAATTAAGGGCATTTTAGTCCAAAATGCCGGTAATCCAACAGTACCTAAGGAAAGGAAGGTAATGACATTCCATGTAATATACCCAAAAAAATCCACTACTGGTAATATTACATTATCGGGAATGAGATTCCCAACTAACCAAACGGGAGAATGTGAATTCTATTCCCATGAGAATCTCACATTTCCTCATCCAAACGCCCCCTTAGACTTAACTATTGCGCTATGATCTCTCACGTTTGTTTGAAAGCAAATACTAATAATTATATTTTATCGTATGGAGTTTATTTCTCGGTTTTAATTGAATTAATTGCTCGAATCAAGTTAATTTAGTTAAACCGTCGGCTATCAAAATTAATTCCTCGAATCAAGTTAATTTAGTTAAACCGTCGGCTATCAAAATTAATTCGATTGGAGA